TCATCAACTAGCCTTATCCTATGCATACAAAAAGAAGGGCTAATGCCTCTAATATCAGCCATGGTCCAACCAATGGCTTTCTTGTGATTTTTAAGCACATTTAGGAGCTGATTTTCCTCATTATTTTTTAGGGCAGCAACTACAATTACAGGGAGGGTATTATCTCTTACTAGAAAATCATATTTAAGGTGAGTTGGGAGTTCTTTCAACTCCACTTCAGGTGGTTCCACAATGGAAGGTTTAAGAGGTTTGATGATTCTCTCATGAAGTCCTAGGGACTCAAAATGTTTATCACCAAAGAACTTAGTAGGATAAGACTTCAATGCACATGCATGATCAAGATCAGATGCATTATTCTCGTAAAATTCAAAAATGGCAGAATCACATGCAGAGTCATTTATTTCAAAATTTTCTTGTAAATGGGCAGCAACCAAATTATCAATTACAGATATAGCAGAACAATCATCAACATCATCATCTGCATATTTCATGGCTTTAAAAACACTAAAGGTCATAGTGTCATCATTTACCCTCATTGTTAACTCTCCTTTTTTAACATCTATCATTGCACCCCCTGTAGCTAAAAATGGTCTTCCTACTATAATAGGAATATTTTCATCGACTTCACAATCAAGGATAATGAAGTTAGCTGGAAAAATAATTTTTTCCACTTTTACTAAAATATTTTCCACTTTTCCTTCAGGATATACAATAGACCTATCAGCTAATTGGAGAGTTAATGTTGTGGGTGCAGATTTTATTCCTAATTGCTTAGAAATAGAAGCAGGCATCAAATTAATGCTAGAGCCTAAATCACATAAAGCTCTACCAATATACCTATCTCCTATAACACATGGAATAGTAAAAGAACCTGGATCCTCCATTTTAGGAGGTACTTTTGTAGAGACAATGCTGCTGCATTCTTTGGTAAGTGCCACTGTTTCGAACTCTTCTATTCTCCTCTTTCTTGATAGGATGTCCTTCATGAAATTGATGTAGCCTGGCATGTGTTGAAGGGCCTCCACAAATGGAATGTTGATCTGGAGTTGCTTGAGGATGTCTAAGAACCTCTTAAAGTGCTGCTTCTGGTTCTGTTTTTGAAGCCTTTGTGGAAATGGAATCTGCCTTGCTCTTGGTCTTGGTGAAATGCCTTTATTTTGCTGCATAGGTTTGGCTGGCTCCTTTGATTTAGGTGCTGAATTTTCTGGTTTGCCCAACTCACCTTGCTCCTTGTTGTTTTTTGAATCTTGCACTTCAATTACATTAGGTTCTTCCTCTTCTTCAATTGGTTGAACATTTTTTTCTGCCAACTTCCTCAAAGTAGAAGGCCTAATAACATGCTCTGGTTGTTCAACCTCTCTTCCATTTCTCAAATGGAGATCCTTACAAAATTCCTTTCCCTCTCTCCTTGGTGCTTCAGTATCACTAGGAAGAGTACCCACCGGTCTATTGCTAAGAGAGGATGCAATCTGCCCCATTTGTGTCTCTAAGCTTTTTAAGATTGCTCCATGACTTTGAAGCATGACCTCATGATTTTGCAGCATCCGGTTTGACCACTGATCATTTGGTAGAGGCTGAGTTTCTGCATTAGATTTCCCTTGCTGATCTTGAGGCATTTGTGAGTTGAAACCGGGTGGAAATGGGACTTTTGGCTGATAAGGTTGCTGCCCTCCTTGGAAGGGCTGATTCTAATTTCTATTTCCAACATTTTGATGGTAATTTTGGCCCTGATTCTGGCCAAAATTTCCACCTTGTTGCTGCCATCTGCCTTGGTTGTAGTTCCCTCTATTGTTGTAGTTTCTGTTGTAGTCACCAACATAGAAGGCTGAAGAGGGGTTGCTTGGGCATTCTTCAAACAAATGGGCACCATAGCAAAGTGAGCAGATTGGTGTTGTTGCAGCCACTTGAGCAGGTGGTTGCTGTTTGGTCTCACCCATTTGCTTGACTAAAACCTTGAAAGTGTTATGCATTGCTGCCATCTCAGCTGCCATGGAAGTTATTTCAGTCACTTCATAAAGTCCAGCTGCCTTCTTTGGAGCTTCATCTCTTTGTTCAGGTCATTGGCAGCTGTTTTGGCTTATTCTATCAAGTGTCTCAAAAGCCTCTGGATACCTTTTCAATAAAAACATTCCATTGGCAGTAGCATCCAAGTGAGTTTTGCCTTGGGGACTCAATCCTCTATAGAAAATCTGAATGGTAGCCCACTTAGGAAGACTATGGGTAGGACACTTTTTAATCAACCCCTTAAATCTAGTCCAGCTCTCATGGATTGACTCATCAACATACTGTCTAAACCCTGTGATGTCATCCCTCAAATCACACACCTTTGTGGGTGGGAAAAACCGCATAAGGAAGGCTTCTCCAAGCTCCTTCCACGTGGTGATGGACTGTGCAGGCAAATCTTCTACCCATTCTTCTGCTGCCCTAGCTAGAGAAAAGGGAAATAGCCTCATTCTCATGGCATCTGTGGACACTCCATGAACAGAAAATGTATCAGAAATTTTCATAAATTTTGTAATATGCTTGTGGGTATCTTCCTTAGGTAATCCATGGTATTGAGTCATGGATTGCAGCAGCTGTATCATCCCCGGTTTGAGATCAAAATTCCCCTCCACTCCAGGCTGGACTATACCAGGAATTACTCCATCAAGTGATGGAATAGCATATTCAGCAATGGGAAGCTCTTCATCCACCATAACTAGAGCATGGTTGCCATTCCCATTGCCATTGATGTTTTCTCCATTAACAGATCCATGGTTCGATTCTGCCATCTTCAATAACTCGGCAACAATTGTGTAATACTGCTTGTTCCTGTAATCAAAATTGAATTTTGCAGAAATCTCACAAGAACTTGAAATTGGAGTCAGTAGATAGCAAGAAAAATATGTAAAAAGGAAAAAGAAAGAAGAAAGAAAATTAAAAAAATTAAAAAAATATCAAGAAGTCTAAAACAGAATCACAAAAAGAAAATAAAATCAAACACCGTTCCCCGGCAACGGCGCCATTTTGTTGGTATAATTTTCAAAAGAAAGAGTTATCGTTCTCAGGGAACGGTATGAAGTATTTTCTATTTATTTTTCTTTATTAAAAATTCTGAAATTGAAATTAAATTTTGATTTTTTTGAACAAGAAAGTTTTGTAGTCTTTATCAATTATAAAAATCTATTTAAAAAAAAAGTAAAGAAATGATTATCAATGTTTAAAAGCTTCTGAGTATATCAAAAAATCATGGATGACCAAAATATTTGCATTCCTGCAAATTCGTACAGTGCTACAGCGAGTTTATCTCAGTTTCTGAGTTGCTACAACAAGTTTAATTGAAACTTTCCAGAATCAACATTAAGGTTCAAGAAGATCTTTTCCCAAAGCTTCTTGAATCTTTACAGAGAATTATATCAGAAATCACCTTTGATTATCCCTAATCCAAAAGGGTTCATTTAACACTTAACAAAAATCAATTTCCCAATTTCTTTTTGTTGAAAAACTCAAGTTCCATTCCCATGAATTTCTTGAGTTGAAAAGTGAAAGCATCAAACGAATGAGATAAAAAAACAGTAACAAAGAACATCAAAAATTCATCCAATCTTTATTAACATACCCAGAAAAGAAAAGAAATTTGAAATCCATATTCAGAAAAAGAAAATCAAAGATGAAAGAAAAACAGAAACATGCATTAAAAGATAAAATCAGAAAAATTGTTTAACATAATACCGATCCTAACTAGAGCTGGATCTTTCTCCACTTGCAAGCACCTCCTTCGATCCTTGCTTCCAGCGTTGTCAGAGCTTGAGGTTATGGATCTTGAAGATTTTCAAGGAGTGAAAAATACACACAGCGTCTTCAAAAACAAGGAAAAAAATACGAAGATTGAAAATTTTCTAAGTCTCTGTCTCTGATCTAAAAATCTAATATCTATATATTTTTACAAACCACAAAAGGAACTAAAGCTAAAAATTCTACACGCTAAGAGCCGTCAATCTCCTTGTCATCCAATGGTTAAAATGTGTTCACTTTATAAAGCTGATCCACGTGCCTTTTCATTCTTTTCTTCTCAGCTGAAATTAAAAATGAAAGTAAAACATGTAAGGAAAAACAAGCCAAATTCTACTCTTTTTACTTTATACCTTCATTTTTTACTTGGACCTTTACTTAACTCATTTGGGCCTAATTTACCTGCAACAACACTAATTAAACAGCCCAAAGGTACTTAAATAACATAAAATAATATAATATAAAAATATATAATTTGGTGCTAACACCTAGGTATTATTATTATTTAATTACGAATTACTTAGTGACCTAGGTATTATTATTAATTAATAATGAATTAATACACTTAATTATAAAATTGATAGGAATAGGTTTAAATTATTTGTATGAATTAATTACTTACGAATGAATTAATGACGTAACCATGATGCAGTTCGTCAATGGTTGAGTTGCTTTTGATACGTGTCGGCCTTTTTTTACCTTCAAACTTTGCACCTCGTCGGCCTTCCACCTTCCGACCATTGTAATATAACACAATACGACAATCAGAATGTGAATTTATTTTAAAATGGAATAACAAATAAAATAAAAGACTATATTTATGCTAATAACTATGTATGTAAATGTAAGAATTGATGGTACAGAAGAGTTATGAAGTTATGAAGAGTGTATGAGGGATAAGGGTTTATATAGATTTTTTTGCAGCATTCACGCCTTGAGTAAGCATCATGTCTACATGTGTCACGTTTAATTTGGGCAGCACATGCCATGTCTCATTTAGGCGTGACCTACGTGGTGGTGACGCTTATATGGGAAGGGACATGTGACATAGACATGATATTATACAATAAATACATAATTATTTTAAAAATAACCATAAATTCATAATTTTTTATTTAAAGTACAATAAATTAATTTTTTTTCCCGTGGCTTACACGTCCTCTACCCCTGCGTCTAGGACTCTAAGCAAGCTGCCACTTTCAAACTCACTTCCCTTTTCACCTAATCAACTTTCTCTCTCCTCCCTCTCTCTCTCTCATAAAAAAAACCAGACCTTTAATAGAGAACTTTTGGCTCAACCCAAACACAATACCAGACAAACATGGAAATAGAGAAAACCAGAGAATCATAGTCACAGAGAGAGAGAGGGAGAGGGAGGGAGGGAGAGAGAGAGATGGAAAACACCTTATGTGATGAACTCTTGCAAGAAATTTTTCAAAAACTTCCATCATCTTCATCTTCTTCTGTTTCCCTTGTCTGCAAGCGGTGGCTTCACCTCTACCGTTCATCAAGAACCTCTCTTTCTCTTCGTGTCATCCCACACTTCTCTGTGATTCCTTCTCTCACCTCTCTTCTAACCCACCACTCTTCTCTCTCTTCCCTCTCTCTGTTCCTTTCTTCCGACCCCACCACCACACCCTTCACACTCTCATGCCATCTTCTCTCTGTTGTCTCCTCTTGTTGTTCCAGGCTTCTTGCTCTCAGATTCTTGGCTGGCCCTGTTTCTCTCTCCTCCCTCACTTCTCTCTCTAAGGCTTGTACCCATTTGACATCTTTGAATATTAGCCTCTCCAGGCCAATCTTTCTCATGTGGGTGTGTTCTTTTCCTTGTTTGAAAGATTTGTCAATTATTTTGTGCTCTGGTGATGGTTCCCTTGGAGATGAAGATGATGTGAATAATCAATATGGGGTTTGGGAAAGTGAAGATTTTGATGCGGAATTGGGGTTGGAGAGTCTTTGTTTGGTGGGTATTCGTGGAGATGATTGGGGAGTGGGTTGGTTATGGAGGAGTTGCAGAAAGCTTAAGAGGTTGCAGCTTCAGAGTTGCCAAGGTATTGGTGGGTCCTACTCCTCTTTTGTTCAGTGCTTGCAAGGTCTTCAAGAAGTTGAGCTAATAACTTGTAGGAGTGTGGTTGATGGGGTTCTCTTGAAACTTTCAGAGAATTGTCACTCTTTGAATTCACTCTTGGTTCATGATGGTGGTAGCAGAGAGGGTTTGCTACGCTTCTTTTCTCAATGCAGGTCTAATATCCATAAACTTGATCTTCGTTTACCTCTGGACCTTAATAACAACCATCTTTCAGCTGTGGCGGTGAATTTCAGAGGCCTCTCATGTATTAGGCTTCAAAGTTGTTGTCTTGTCACTGGTGAAGGCCTAAAGGCTCTTGGGGTGGCAATGAGTAATGGGCTTGAAGAATTGGCACTCATAAACTGTGATGTGGTTGAAAGAGAACCTGGATTGCTTGCCACTTTGGGACAGCATTTGAGGCAATTGAGGAAATTAGACTTGTCACATAATGAAATGTTGCTTGACAAGGAGTTCATTTCAATGTTAGTTTCATGCATTCATTTGATTGATTTGAGGCTAAGAGGGTGTAAAGGACTCACTGGTATGGCTATGGTTTCTATGCTTAGGAGCTGCAAACACCTTGAAAATGTAGATATTATGCAGTGTTTGGGGATAGAATCTGAGGCCATTGAGCTTTTCATTAAGAATTCTCCTCGTTTGAGAAGAATGGAGGTTGAGGGAAGCAAGCTTTCTGATGCTGCAAAAATGTGTGCATCAAATAGGTTTATTGAAATTGTTGTTTAATTTGTTCGGTGGATGTTGAAAGAAGCAAGTGTATATTTATATACTTCTAAATAAACAGGTATATACTTCACGCTCCTGATCACTGTATTTATTATATCCATGTTTATGTAATACTATGTTTCGAATATGAAGGGTAGTTTATGCCCCGTGAATGTTCATATCAATTATGTACATAATACTTTTAATCTCATTTTGTGGGATCAAAGAAAGTCCTATTTATGCTTCACATTTTGTGTGCATACAATTGTTGTACTATATGCTTCAATTGGGTGTGCAAGAACAGGTTGATCAGTGTGCGGTTTTCCTGAAATCATTTAAGGATGTGACTTGGGGAAACCAGGCCCAATAACGTGGATATCAGGGTCCAGCTATATGGGTGATATAAAGGGGGTAAATGGGAATGGTAAATCTAACTTTAATTTAATGAGAAGTGGAAATCTGGCAATTTTAAGTGAGGCATTAAACTATGCAATTTGATGGGGGAGGAATTAACACACTACTGCAATATGATAACTTGCACGAAATGTGATTGGGAAGTATCGATATTAGGTAGCCAATTAACGCTTGGCGATTTATTTGCTGCGGATTTAGGTGTACTGCTTAGTTGTGTTAGCTTTTTGGTGTATGTTATGGTTGGTTTTTAAGAATGTGATGGGAAAAGAAGAAAAAAACAATTACTTCCATTCGTTCAAGTGGCAATATAATAAATATATATATATATATATATATATATATATATATATATATATATATTTTGAAAAGGATTTTTTGGATCAGAATTTGAAATTGTCATGCTGTTTAATTTGGGATTAATTTTATATCTATGTGTGCCCTTTTCCCTGTTCGAGTCTTGGTGATGCCAAGGAAACCTCACTTGCAAGGGTTATGGAATTAAAATAAAAACAATAATATTTCTATGCATAAAGAGCAAAGAATAAATCATTAATATAATAATTATTTATTGAATAAAATTGCATTCCGCAGCCAGCTAAAGCGTGTTGAATGGTTGAAAGAAGATCTTAAATCATTAATATAAGAATTATTTGTTGGTCTTACCACTTTAAGGACGTTTCCCTTTTTCTATCACCAACCCTTTTCTCATAGGCACCGTGACAACGAAAACAGTAGAGAACAGGATTAAATTTAGATTGGAAACAATGCAGATACCAAGTTATTAAAATGGCGCTCTTAGTGATCGAGAACGATTTAAGAGTTTAGATATTGGATATTTTCGAGTTCTCATCATTATAGATCTTCAATGGAATACAAGGTAATAACTTGGATATGATTGATTCTTATCCATCGTTAATTAGTTGTTTTCAATTCATACTCTCTCAACTTGTAAACAACACTATCATTGGCTTCATTGCTTCTTTCGGAATTTATTTTTTTTCCCCTCTCAATTAGCATTTTTCTTTGGGTAATGCAATGAGTCAAAGGAAATAAAAAAAGGAAAATAAAATAAAAAGGTTAGTCTAGAGGAAATGCTTTTAATCACAGGAATGGACTTCTTTCTATATGACCATTTGAGGAAACAAAATGGTCATCCACTTTGGCACACCATTGTTGAAGTCTTGATTGGGAAAATCCTAAACAGACTATTATGAAACAGCTTTATGTTTTTTATTTTTTTATTTTAATGTATATAATATGGGGGAAAAGATACATTTTATTATGCCTAAAAGTTAAACATGTTTTGGATTAAAATTTCATATGAAAGTTGTAGAATTCAGGCCGGACCGGTAGGTTCAAGTTAAAAACTAGTAAATGGTCATTTAATTGGTTCGGGTAATATAATGGACTGGATTTACCAAAGAATATGATCCAATGTGACTTGGTTGATTTTTGTTAAAATTGGTGCTATGCCGATTGATAGAAAGGGGATTAATTGACTTACTTGACCCGGTTTGTGAAGTCATATCGAGAGAAAATCAAAGGAGAATGAGGAAATTTTTTTAAATACTAGGATGTATTGAGTTGGGTGCATTTTTTACTAAGATGGGAAGTTTTTTTTTCCATTTTAATCCCTTATTTTTTACTTATTTCTTTTTATATCCTAATTATTTTCTAATTTAAGAAAGGGAATACCGAAGATTAGTGGCGGACCCAGAAATTTTTTTTTATGTGTGCACATTTAAGGTTTTCCCGAAGATTTTTTTTAAAGAAAATTTTAAATGTATTAAAAAAAATATAAACAAGAAAAGAAAAGGAAACTTTAACTTAACATAAAAAAAAATAATCAAGAGTCAACTAAGCTGTTACAATAACAAATAAAATAAATATAGAAAGTTAACTTTCATTGAGACTTGTCGAATTACTACGAACCCACAATTTTTTATCCTCCTTCAAATTTTAGGTAAGATCCCGATTTTAACTATCATGGTTGGGCTTATGTTTACTTTTTTTTTTTTTCAATCTTCTTAAATCTTTTTTTTACTTGACCTAAATCACCCACCCCTTTGAAAAAAAAATTCTCAAACTTTTGTGTTTGCATGTGCAGGCACAGGCAACAGCGTCAGTCCGCCTCTGCCGAAGACGGTGGTACCCAAAGTTTGCTCGAGAATGAGAAGTAGGGGTTTAACGGGCCGAGCTGAGCCGAGCTTTGGTCTTAAAAAGCTAAGCCTGTGTTTAAATGTATCAGCCTGACCAAGTCTGTTACCTGTTATAAATATAATTATCGGCCTGTGGCATGACTTATTTTTAAAAAATAAAAGCCTGATTTAGCCTGTTTAAAAAAAAAAGACAATAAAAATTTATCCAAACATAATATACAATCAACAACACTAGTAATTTCATAAATATTCATAAATTCAATGTATATCCAAACAGCATAAGATAGAACAAAATTATTCAAAAAGTTTGTTTAACCAATAAAATGGGGTGAAATGGATTAAGAAAAAAGAGATGACTATTACAAGTAGTATAAAAAATATAAAAAAATAAAATAAAATATACTAGGCCAGCCTGAGAGGCTCTAAGGCCGAGTTTTTGAATTGGAGCCTTAGGCTTTTTTATTAAACGAGCTTATATACAAGTTTAAGCCCGGTGCCAACAATCAATTTTGGACATATGAGCTCAGGCCTTCATGAGTCGAGCCAAAGGTCCCTGATTCGTTTAACACCCTAATGAGAAGGGACTTAACTGTATTCGTGATCGTTCGGGCTTTGGGAAAGGAATTTCATGCGTTCAGCGGCTAAAAACAATGGTAACATCAATTTCATTTCTCTTCTCTTCTCTCTTTCGTTACAGTTTCTAGATTTCCTATTTTTTTAAGGGAAAAAAGTATCTAATGTTACTTTAGACAACTTTGTCTAATGTTAATTGAAACAACGTCGTTTTGGGGTTGAAAAATTAAAAAATTAGAATGATAAAGACTATTATAACCCTAAAATATATTAAAATTACAAAAACACCATGATTTCTGCCCCAAAACGACGTCGTTTTGATGCACATTAGATAAAGTTATCTAAAGTAACCTTAGAAAAAATAAACTTTTTTTTTAATTATCATTTAATCTTGCGTTGAGAGTTTATAGTGAATTTAATTATTTTTTTTTACTGGTTCATTGAATAGCTGCCGTTCAAGCAGAACAAGACTACAAGAGTAGCAAAATTCTCTTTTTCAAGTTTTTAACACATTGCATAACTAGGCTCAAACTCGAAACTACATATTATGAATTTAATTATGTTAATGACAGTATATAAGTCGTCAAACTAATTAAATATGCAATATGTATTTAAGTCCATTTTTTTATTTTTATTTAAGTTATTTGAAGCATCGCCTTGTGCTTATTTTTGGTTTCTGAAAGCATCCTTCCACACGAGATTTATTTTGGCATTCCATACGCATAAAATATTCGGTGCGGGAGAGGAGAGACAGTGAAAGAGAGATTGATGATAGATGAGAGAGGAAAAAAAAAAATTCATGTATCACTCTCTTAATGGAAGGATCACCATGACGCAGGAGGATGTTAAAAATTTCCCTTCCATACAAAATGAAACGACTAATCTCCCATTGAATAGGTATGGTAAGATGCAAAAAGCGGGAGTCCCTCCCTCCCAAGGGTATTTTTATTCATGCACATGAATCTTGACATTATACTTAAAAAGGGGGTGTTTGGTAGAAGATTTTTTTTAGAATTTCCAGGAAATTGGGGATGATAATCTTATTTACCCACGTTTGGTACGAAATTTTTAAAAAAAAATTTGGGAATCTAATTTTTTCGGGATTTTATTTTGTATGTAAAATTTTCTGAAAGTACCATCCAGGCAAGAGAAAATTTAACACAATCAAATATAGCATCAAGAAAATTAACCCAATATTTTCTGGAATATTTTGGCCTACCAAACAACTTTTTGGTAATATTCACAGAAAACTCTGTTTCTCACCATATTTCTGAAAATCATGATTCTCGGGTAAATTTTTTTTTTCCTTTACCAAATGTCCCTTTAAGGAATTTGAGTCCTTCCCTCCACCCCTTATGTGAATATGGTATAAAAGAATTTTCTACTTCAAAAACAAAGAAATATCCCTAATTATAACAAAAAAAAGAGAAGAAAAAATATGCCATGAATCATGCCGTTTGCTAAGTGCATTCCAAATTGCATTCCACAGCCAGCTAAAGCGTATTGAATAGTTCAAAGAAGAACTTAAAAATTATACGGCTAAAAAATTGTTTAGTTTTAGTCAGTATTGATGTTGGTCTTACCACTTTAAGGTCTTTCCTTTTCTTTTTTTTTTGGTTGTCACCCACCCTTATTTTAGGGGCTTTGACAACGTAAACAATAGACAACAGGATTGAGTTTAGATTGAGAGGTACCAAATTATTGAAAGGGTTCTCTTAGTGATCGAGAATGATTAAAGTTTAGATATTGGATATTTTCAAGTTTTCCTCATTACAGATCTTCAATAGATTACAAGGCAATAACTTGGATACAATCGACTATTGTCCATCGTTTAATTATGTGTTTTTGTCCGTTCATACTCCCTCAACTTTGTAAACAACGTCGTCAGTCTTTCTTTCTCATTTGTTTTCTCTCGAGCTAGGATTTTTATTTCGGTATTGCAATGAGTCAAAGGGAGAAAAAAGAAGAGAAAGTATAAAAAATAGTTACTCAAAAGGAACGGCTTTTGATATTAGGAATGGACTTCTTTCTGTCT